AGACAATCCCTCAGCAGTATGCGTTTTTGCATTGCATTGCTGTAAAAAACGCATAAAAAGTATGCCTTTAAAGTAACCTTTATAAATATTGTAGTCTGAAATGAAAGTTTCAAAAAGCTATGATAACTAGGTTCTTTCCAATTGTGTGAAGCCCTTTTTTGTATTTTCAAGGGTTGAGATTGGCTTTTCCTAAAAACTAAACTAGTAAAATGAAAGATGTGGGCATGATTTTTTACACGCATTTTTTCTCTCTCTTGCATTTTACTACGGTTTTCCGTGGAGTTTTTCAAACAAATGAGTACTATAAATTATTTCGGATAATCAAGTAAATATTTTAAAACAAATAGCAACAGTTAGAAAAAAAAATTGCACAGCATTTATATAATGGTTTTCTGAAAATCGTAAATCAGCGAGTCTCTAATTGGTTTATGTAAGTAATTTATCATCCCGTCTTGAATTCACTGAGGGATGCAATAATTCTTTTGCAATTTTCATTTTTTCGTGGAATTATCTGGTGTTTTGCACGGGAACAGCTGTTCATTGATCTGATTTTCTATTTATGCAACTGGCAATTTTTCCAATTGCTTTGACCATTATTGCTTGCTAGTGATTCTGACGTTCGTTTCATCTCCTGAAGGGAAGGGATTATTGTTCAAGCGGCTCTTTCGTCAGAGACATATGGCAGGACATTCTTGGCGTATATGTGTGGCGTATATGAGCGTTACCATTTCTAGGCTACGGCATGGTGCCTTACTAAGTAGGTGATATTTTGCCGTAGTTTGACGAAAAATGCGAGTAATTCCTGTGAGTTATGGTTAATTGTAACTGGCTATAATTCATGATTCTCGAATTGTTATAGTGGTTTTTTTTGTCTGAGGGGCCGTATTTTACCAGCAGCGTAAAGATGGCAGAAAAAAAGCTGCATGGCCTCTTCTTTATACATCAGATGTTGCACAAGATATATTAACTCATTATATTCGACGAATGCTTTCAACCTATTTTTTAAAATTATCGTTAGGAGAAATAGAACCCGGTTTCATCGTCTTAAATGACATCTACGGTAGAAGGCTTTGATGGAAATTCGTGCATAAAAAATCAAAATTTTCAACGACAACAAGTTAATAAATCAGTCGTGGCGTTTTTTTTACCCTTTTTTCTTATTTTGGAAAAGTTCCAAAAACAAATGCAATTCATTCGTAACATTTGTTCTACCTCTTTATCGGCTTTCTTTAAAATTTTTTTGGTGGCGAGACTGATAATAGCACAAAGTGTATTTTGGACCAAGATAAACAACAGATATTTTGTTGATAATACATAGGAGTTTCGCTTCTTTCGCTTCATCTCATCACTTTAATGAGGGAAGCCGATCAGACATTTTTAGTATTTCATCACCAGTTGTTGCCTCTGTCTTTATTATCACAAATTATCAGTGAAGAAATTAGTTTGTGAAATATAAGATATTAAAATGTATATACTGAAAAATAATCAGATGAATAGGAATGTTTCGGTCCATTAAGTTGTATACATCCCAATTCAGCGCGACAGTTGTGCTGTTGGTATATGTGTAAAGGATGATGTGAATATAAATAAGAGGAAATACATTGGTTGTCAAAAAAATAGATGTATTTGAACTTGTGTAAAGGGATAAAATCTAGAATACTACAGAATTATTACTATTATTATATTATTATTAGTTTTTTACATAGAATTATCATTAATAGAGTTAAATATTATTATATTATTACTACTACTACATACAATTAATAATTGGTAGAGTTAATTAGAATTAATAGAATTAATTAATAACTATTACATGAAATTAACAGAATACTACAGAAGTAGAAGTATTATTAGTTTTTTACATCAGTGAAATAATCCTCACTGCGTAGAAATAGACTTTTTTTGCTAACACTATCACGATTTTGGTTTAACTTTCTTCATTATTATGAATACGCATTCATTCACAACGTAACAGTAGTAATAGTAGTAGTAGTAGTAGCAGCAGCAAACAAAGTGACAAATTCAAATAAACTCATTGTTTCATCAAAAAAACCAGTACATTTTCACGATGTGCCGGGGAGCAAGGATTTATTGGTGTATAATTTCCAAACCTTTCTTTTTGTTTCGGGTTTCTTCGTGTTAGTTATACTGGCAACATTGGCGTTACTTACTTTTGCACCTCTTGTTTTTGCCTATACTTGAATTTAGTAGCATTTTCTTGCGGATCGGTGCGAAACTGCGAAACCCTCCAGCCGCTTGCAATCCTCAGTGGCTTCAAGTCACAACCTAAATAGCGAGAAACTGTTATGTCCTCCGTTGGTACAGGGTTGTTTTGCGTCTTTTGAGGGTCACTCTTTTTCTTTTGGGCATTCTCTGATAGCCAGTACAATTTGGATGATGTTTATCAAGCGGACAATATTGATAACATGTGAATTTTACACAACAGGGGAATGTGGCTGTAATCGCAAAGCGGCATCGTCGTTTTCGAGCTGATTGTACATGCGGTGCCTCTCTTCGCTGCTGTTCATACTGGCTTCTTCTATCTTTTGAGAATGCTCATTATCGGGGTCCGCTTGCAATTCTGCACCTAGTCCCCGTTGTTCCTGATCAGTAGCAGTAGCAGCAGCATGATCGGATCCGTTGTTCCCTGTAGCTTCCTTCTTATCACCATCGTCATCAGCAAGTTCATGTTCACTCTCGTTCTCATTGTCCTGACCCTCAACCTCATCCTCACTTGATCCGGGCAGCTTGAAATACATTTGATGTGCTGTACCTCTCCTCACAAGATAACCGTGCTGAGGACACAACGCATTCATCATCTGAAAAAAAAAAA